AATGTTTGGTTTCTTTTGTTGATTGCCTCTGCTGTACAAATTGGAACTGGTTGATTGTTGGTTGTTGGTTGTCTATTGTTGTTTTTTATCTTCTTCTTTTCATCTGGAAAAAAATGTCTTCCATTTTTAACATCTCTCTCAATTTATACAAGTCTCGGTGTCCGGTGTCCGTAGTTTGGTGTCTCGGTGTCTGGTGTTTGGTGTCTGGTGTCTATAATTGTGAAAAAAAAACAATAATATACTTATTATGTAAATTTTCTCTTATCTTAGTATTAATAACTTCTATTTAAGTGTGAGATCTTAAAGATACTTATGAAAAGTCTAGGAATAGTGTATTTGTATTTTGATTAATAAAAGATAATCAATTATGATAATTAGAGGCTTCATATGAAGGTTCTTATAGGATCCTAATATAATTGGGAGGTGGTAGATGATGGTTATGGAGAACCAACAAGTATTATGCGCATTTCGATAGTCCAAAACAAAACGTTGAAAAGGATGCATGCAAAGGAGACAATTTTGTATATGCTGTACCAAGCTAATAATGAATCTGACTTTGAGAAGATAATAAGTGTTAATAATTTAAAAGAAATATGAGAGATTTTGGAAAAGGAATATAAGGACAATGACCAAATGAAACAAGTTCGACTATAAATATTTCATGACAAACTTGAAAGTATGGGAATGAAGAAATTAGAAGAAGTTTCTAAATATATCACTATACAAGTTCGACTACAAGCATGAGTTTCAACTATTTGGAACACTAATATTACCGAAATATATAAATCATCTAACGCCTAAAAGTGTAAGGACAATAACAATCCAAACAAAAAAAATTAATAAAAATAAACATAAGAATAAATTTCTTCTTATTCGTTATCCAAAATATTACTAAACAATCAATAAGATTTATATACCTCAATTTTTTTTATATAGAGATTTTGATATTTATAAGTGCACCTCCAAACCATGTAAGGTAGTGGGAGCTATCCAAACAAGCAAAATTTGAAATCAATAAATAACCAAGACACATGTATTCAATGGCATCATTCTAGATTAAAATAGCCCCAAAGTTGCAGAATCCAAAGGTTTAGACCCTACCAGTGATAAGCCAATAACGTCAATAAAAGAATCACAATACCACTAAACCAAACCAGACAATAAAAAAAATTAAAAAGAAAATAGAGGTTGCATAAAGGTAAACTTTGTGGAATGAAAATATTGTTTGTCACACTTCTAATTCAGCGTTGCCATGGTAGTGGCAGAGCGTCATTGTTGGGAGATGGTGTTCAATGTTTGGGAAATTGAATTCTTTTTCATAGTCTTCAGAAGGTTTGGGAGGGAGGGTTTGCAAATTCTTTGCACTTAGTTGAAGATGATGTTTCTGGCAAGTCATGAGTTTTTTTTTTTTTAGGTAGTTTAAATTACAATTGATATAAAAATGTATTTTTAGGTTGGTTCAACCATAACTGATTTGAAGTTTTTTCCCTTTATTTTAACGTTTTTAATTTTTTTAATCTAGAAAAACCTATTATAATTTTTTTTTTGTGGACCAAAAACTTACAAATTCAGGCTACAATGGTTCAAACTTACATTTCCAAGAACATTACAATAGTACAAAACTTTCCATGAATGGCACATCAATAATGCATAACCATGAGTGGAAAGAAGAAAAAAGAAATAAAAAAAAAATGTAAAGATGGATGAAAATATTAGCGGTATTTTTGTTTCTTTTTTTAGACTTTGAAATTGTGCCAAACTCAATTTCTGTTTTCTAAAAAAACTTAAAAATTTGTGAAATGCATATCTGATGATTTAAAAAATAATAATTTATGAATTTATTAATTATAAGCAACAATGGGCAAATACGAATTCTTGTCACCTGTCACTCTATCGTGGCTGAGGTAATGAAATAGAATAGGAATATGATATTTAGCAATAGATAAATAAAAATACTCCTCCAACACAAAAAAATATCCTTAAGACAAAAGGTTACGAAGCATATTAGGAATGCTATAAAGCAAAAAGCAAATCTACAATTTTAATATATTATTTTTCCATCTTCATTCTTCTCTTTCATCTTGGTGATTAACTTGTGTGTATTGCATTGCTACGTGATTTCCTTTATTATATCCTCCTACTCTTTGAAATTTCCAAAAAAAAACACAAGGTCAACTTACTTTGTTACGTATATTACTCTTATTTGGGACTGGGAAAGCTAAATTTAAGAGAAAGAGACTGAGAGAGTGTGCTTTGATCCTTTGAGTTACACGAAATCATAAAGTCATTATTACTTTGTTTAAAGTTAAAGACTTCAAAGTGGTTATCTCGAGAAAAAAAACTCCCAAGTGGTACACAGGTGGATTTGCACAAACTATTTTAAAAGTGTTCCCCAATACACGACTTTGACATGATTCTGTTAATTAGTACCTAATGATTTCACTAATTTAGGAATATTTCCTCTTTAAATCAATAGTTAATACATGATCAAAAGTTAATACAGTACATGTTTTTGTTTAATTAGTTCAAGTTTTGTGGTCATGGGCAAAAGAGTTGCAATATTGCACTGACAAGCTTTTTACGTAGCGAGTTGCTATTCCATGGAACTTGATTGAGTTTGAGGTTGATATCGTCATGAACAAGACACAATTGGAAGAGCTTTTTTTGCACGTGCACGAGCGTGTGAGTGATGAGTAAGAGTAAAAGGCAATCATAGATATACATTATTATTTTCATTTGTTGGTGCATGAATATTGATTATGCCAATGCAAAATTGGGCTGAACCAAAAAAGACCCATGGTTTTGATTCATTGGAAGAAGACATGCATGGGCCCGGAAGCTCAATTTGTGATTGGCAACAACAACACCATGATTGCACCTTTTAGGTTAAACTTTTGGGCTCAATTACCAACGATGGAGCTATCATAGAAAACCATTCATGAACTCATTCTCCTTTTGGAGCCTAATTCTCTCTATATATAATGCATTCTTTTTATTGACTAGCAATAATATGTATATGCATGGGATATTATTATGAATGTAATGTATGTAAGACCCAACAAAAAGCATCATCGTCCATGAAGATGATTTGAATTAGGGGACCCTACCCGAGACCCAAAGGGAGCAGATTATTGGAGGCAGGAAAAGTGCTTAAAGGCTTTTCCCAAAGGTACTACTTTTTAAGAGAACAATTTTCTTTTGGTTGACGCTTTGTGTTTGTCCTTTAAACTAATAATGCATGCATTGCTTTGCTCCTATCTCTCTCACTCTTGTTTTCCCATCTTAGTTGGCACACCACTCTAGTTTTACTTCTCTCTCCTCAAGTGGAACCTACTTCACACTATGTGTTATTTTGTCTTCTAGTGTAACAGAATATTCAGGGTAACCATACATTATACATATATAATATGGTGATTATATTGTTATGATTAGTAGTGTAATGGTAACTGAGAGAAAGTAGTGAAAGTTGTAGTGGGGTGTGGCATTCCCATGTGAAATGGAAGATTTGTGCTTGTCCATATTAAAACCTCAGCGTTTTTATACGTTTAAAAATGTTATCTTTGGAAAAACAGTGCACGCAAAGAAAATGGTGTTGGTTGGCTGTCACGCATGTATACACCACAAGGAAAAACGGGTAAAGCAAAGGTAACTGATATGTACATAAGTCAGGTATTCACACTTTGCATGCTCAAATTATTAGGCCAGTTCAGCTTCACACAGATGAATTTGTAATTTGGATTTGGCACATGACATGTTAAGTATATAATTAGTGTTAATGATGCTTAATTGATGATACTATAAACTAGTTATTTGTGTTGGAAAAATGTTTAGGGTGGGAAAACCAAGGGTCCAACACTGCAAGCGCACCAAAAGCTTTTTTCCCCACTCCTAGCAAAAACAAAAATATAACGGAAGAAGAAAGGACAAAGAGAGAAGAAAGATAATAAACTGATAAAATGAAAAGGACAGCACAAGCAGCCAAATATGCGGACAACTTTTCTTTTAATAATAATATTTATACAGTTAAATATAATAGGTTCATCTTTTTCATTTTATATATATATATATATATATATATTTTTTTTTTTCTTTTTTTACATTATTTAAATAATTAAAAAAGATAGTCACAAATAGAATTCTTATTTCTCTTTCATAGAATTGTGAAGGTGATTCGTCCTAGCTAGTGTGCCTGTGTCCTGAAGCGAATCTCGCTCCATTTCTGATGAAGATCCGGTGCTCTTTGGTTTTCTCATGAAAACGAATCACACTCTGCATCAATCCACTTATAAAAATTCAGAAACAGAGAAAACACTGTTTTTCAATATAAATTTTTATTCAAATGATAAAAGGAAAGTGTGGAATTAGAACTTGGAGCGGTCACCCCACATGACTCAAGACTGATTTCTGACTAAAACTGATACCTCCTTAGGATTGGGAATACGAATATTCAATTATTTAGCTTTATCTGGTTCAATATTCTAATCTTTTAAAACATCAATTGAAATTTATCTAAACTAATTCTTAATTAACATATTTAAAGTACACCATTATCTCCCAAGCGTTAGCATTCATAAACCAAATTGTGTATGAAAGCAGGAACCAGAGAGAGAAACTGCAGAGGGAGGATCGAGAGTAAGCGGAAGAAAATACTAGTAACCTTTTACCAAAGAATCCCCTCCCCTCGATTTTAACACCTCTTCATCTTTTCTACTCTCAGGGTAACAGATCATGCACTGTTGTTTTAGTAAACACGCTCCAATCAAATCATGGGTCTAAAAATCTCAGACCAGATACCATATAATATAATAACCAAGACCAACTCCACTATCTTCGTCCCTTGAATCTCCCTTGTAATTTTCAACCAAACCCAAACACCTTTTCTCTCACAAACAAACTCTCCTCGTTTTTTCATATTTCAACCCATCCCCGTCTTCGTCCCTTTTCCTCAAAATTTTATTTTCCTCGAATCCCAAACAGCGCAAAGCAACACCCTCTAAAAAATGCAATCATTGTCGTCCATTCTCGCGTGCCTTGCTTTATTCACGTCAGTGCTACTACTACAACACCCTTTTTCTCATGCCGGTTTACTGTCAGAACCAGTGAGCGACCCGAACCAGCCTCTCGAACCAGGCGAACACCCATCCTCTAACACGGTTCCTGCATTCCCGGTTCAGACCCAGGCGCAAACCTGCCGGCTGGACCTCTCCAACGAACTCTTCGGCGGCGTCAAGGACGCCTGCGGGAAGGACCTCGACCGGAGCCGCTGCTGTCCCGTCCTCGCCGCGTGGCTCTTCGCCGCACACGCTCGCTCCGCCCTCGAGGTCTCCGGTGCACCGCCACCGGCCTCCGGCGATCTCCCCATGATGCCCGACGACTCCCAGAAGTGCGTCAACTCGCTCCAAGACTCGCTCCTCACACGCAACATCCGAATCCCGCAACCCAACGCCACCTGCGACGCCATCCTGTGCTTCTGCGGCATCAGACTCCACCAAATAACATCCCTAACCTGTAACGCAGCGTTTAACGTTTCGCTTTCCCATAAAAACGCCACCCCTACCGCAGCCGTTCGCAACTTGGAGAACAATTGTCGAAACTCCTCTTACGCCGGTTGCACCAAATGCCTCGGTGCTCTACAAAAGGTATCTCAAATCTAGCAAGAATTTTCTTCACTTCTACGCACTGTATTCACTCTATTACTCATCAATGTGGCCATGCCGAAAATTCCATGCTTTGGTTAATTAGTCCAACGATACCTGCGAGATCACTTCCAATACTATCTTAAATTTAAATTTATCGCTAGTTCAAATTTAAAAATTATTTAGATCATATTTTACATGAACTATTTATTTGGGTTGGGTGCAAATGTTCGACTATTCAAACAAAAGTGAAGAAGAAAAAAGAGTCTTGTTTTTTTGCCGACCAGGTTGACCTACAAACATGATTTCCCATGTGCGTTTACGAATTATTAGAGACTTTTCCTTTTCTTTGTTCCTTTTAGGGTTTACTTTGGCGACATTGTCGAACGTTTATGATTTGTCCGGAACCATGTTTCATTGTGTAAGATGTTTGTTTGTTTGGTTTTGAATGAATAGTAAAACTAAAGGATAACCTGGTTTTATTTTTAATTTTGATTAATTTGAATTTTTGAAGGTGAAAGTGTACAAGAACGAGACAAAGGGTAGTGGAGGAAGCGATAGGGTGAAAAAGATGTTCAACCGGGACTGTCAACTGATGGGGTTAACGTGGCTGCTTGCAAAGAACAAAACGGCATACATACCCACCGTTTCGGCGGTGTTACGTGCTATGATGTACAGTGCGCATCCTCATGAGTCAAAGTGTAGTCCCGATCAAGAGAACATGCCACTGGCCGTTGATTCGCTTCAGTTCGAGAGTGGCAAGGCGCCATCTTTGCCGTCCAAGTTTAGCGTGACGGTTTTGCCCCTGGTGGTTCTGTTATTTTCAGCTTTTGTGTAGAAGGGTCCACTAGGGTTGAAATGTTTTGGTGAGTGTCCTCTTCTCTTCACTTATTCTCTCTCTCACTGTCACGTGAAGCCGAGGTAGTCGACAAAAAACATGCAAACGGGGTCGTTTGTTTGAGTGGAGTGAAGTGGAGTGGAGGGTTTTGTCGCTGTAAATTTCAGGGTTCATTGACATGTCTGTATGTACATGCGTTAGTGCAGTGGTGTCACCAACTTACATAGAAAGAAGAGGTTTTTCATTTTTTTTTTTCTCTCCCCCTTTCTAATCTTTCATTTCTTTTTTTATTAAAACAAACTAACATAGATAAAATTTCCTAATCGAAAAATTGGACGAATACATAATATTAAAAAAAATGATTTGTAACAGGTTTTTAGTGAATACAATTCCTTCTCATTTATCCTTTTTATTGTAAAATATTTTTTCTAATTTTTATTATTATTATTGAAAAGTTTGGTGTGCTAAAAGTCTTAAGCTTTAATGATGGTGCTTAATTAATTACAATCCTAAATCAATGTCTGATTGGTTTGCGTGGGACAGAGGAGGTGCTTGAGTCACCGGAAACAAGAAGCTCCGTGTGAAGTGGGTATGTTGGTCGACTGGTACACTATTTTACATTTTTCAATGAAGGTGCAGTGATGAATTCAAATCCGTGTTTCCATTTTACAATGCAATAATTATATTTAATAATTACCAATTCACGGGTTCAATTACTGTTCTGCAAGTTTAATTATTAATTAAGGGATAATAGTAACGATAATAATAATAATAATAATAATAATAATAATAATAATAATAATAATAAATAGTAATAATAATGTGGTCGAATGTCTGTCGTTTTGAGTATTTCAGTGGCAACACATGGTGGCGGTGCTTGTACATCTTAGGGCAACCAGTACATAATCAAGCCACAACTGACACCTATACAGGCTATAAGATTATTATGTCTTTTATTGGTGGATTCTATTCTCTTTTTAATTATTTAAACATTATATTTATTACAATAAATATAGATTTCATACAGTTTATTTTAAATTGTATTTTTTACTTTATATATTATTTTTAAAGGAGATTATTATATTTCCAAACTTATTTTTAAATAAATATTAAGTTTATTGATATTTACAAAATTAAATAAAAAATTACACATATTACAAAATAAAAAATTAGAATAATTTATCAAAGATAAATTATTTTAAAATAAAATATTATACATATTTTTTTATAAAATTTGAATGAAATTTCTTATGTATATATATTTGCAAATTGATGACAAGTACGAAGGGATTTTAAAATTTTCGCAGAAAAGTTTCATACGGATTTCGAATTCGCAAATAATATATGCCTTCAACTATTTTCTATATAAAATTTCACCCTACATCCCTAAAACTTTTTCCCATGTAACATATTATCCACGAATAAATTCCTTATAGTTCATTGTGATTCAAGTAAAGAAAAACGTTATCGTGAAAGCTTCCAAGGTGGTCTTCAAAAATAATTTGTTGTTCCATTTGAGTCTCATAGGTTATGAAGTTTTGCTTTGCTTTTCCCAGAGACAGAAATAGTATTCCATTCTTACATGAGTACTAATTAAAAATTTTAACACAATAGAAAAAATAGAATTTTTATTATTTAAAAAAGAATATAAAAAAATTATATAAGATTAACACTTTTAAATATCTATAAAAAGATGGCAATGAATAAAATAAATAAAACAATTTATTAATTGTAATATCTCCTCAAATAATAAAAAGGAATATGTTATGAATTTCCAATGACTAAAAAACTCGAACATAGGGGTTGGTAAGGCTTTGGTAAAATATATATACATGACCTGGTGTTGTTTAAGTATATGGAATATCTTGAATTTTTTTCTTGGTGACTAATTCTCTTATGAAATGATGGTTTATGTCAATATGCTTCAATCTTTCATGTTTATATGGATTTGATGCCAGATATATAACACTCATATTATCATAGAGAACACATGTAGTTGGTATGTGAACTTTTAGGGTAAAAATGAGTCAAACAGCTTCACTAACAGTTGTGAAAAGGAATATGTATTCTGCATTTATAAATGACTTAGATACAGTTGTTGCTTCTTTGATTTGCAAGACATCAAATATTCTTCTAATAAAACAACATAATCAATTGTAGATCGTTTAGTTGCTTCACACTTAGCTCAATCAACATCAATGTATATAGTTAATTGAAATTAATGAACTTGGGAATAAATGTCCTTGACCAACATCTCCTTGTAAATATCACAAAAGGTGGTGAACATTTGTCAAATGAGTATTTCTTGTTCTTTCAAGAATTATTTGAGTTTATTAACACTGAAGCTAATGTCAAGTCTTGAAATGGTCAAGTAGATCAGTCTCCCTATAAGTCTCTTGTACACAAGGATCTTGTAGAAGTGTTCCATCTGCATTATTTAGTTGAAGAGTGGGATCCACAGGTAACTTGCGTGGTTTGGAAGCTAAGAATCTTGTATCCTGTAGAAGTTGTAGGGTGTATTTCTTTGACAAAGGGATATGCCCTTACAATCTCTAGACCCAAGAAACAATTCATATTTCTTAGATCCTTAAGTTTCAATATTGTGTGAAGGAAGCCTTGTACTAATTGAATTTGAGCAAGATTTGATCCGACAATTACAATGTCATCAACATACACAAGGAGAATGATCAGATTGGAATCTATCTAGAGAATAATCATATGTAGATTGTTTGAACCCTTGTTGAATCAAAACAAAAGTAAGTTTTGAGAACCATTGTCTACTGCCTTGTTTGAAGCCATATAAACTTCTCTATAATTTGCAAATCAACCCCTCTTTAGATGTTGTATAACCTTGTGAAATGGTCATGTAAATGTCTTCTTCAAGATCTCCATTTAGGAAAGCATTATTTATGTCAAGATAAATGAGTTTCCAATTCTTTATGGCAGTAACAATTAAGAAAGTTCTCATAGTGATCAACTTTGTCATTAGTGAAAAAGTATCTTTGAAATCGATACCAGCTTATTGAGTGTAACCTTTATCTACTAACCGAGCTTTGTATGTGTCAATTATACCATCAACCTTATGTTTGAGCTTATAAATCCATTTGCAAACAATTGGTCTCTTGTTATGGGGTAAAGAAATAAGAGTCCATGTATTGTTTTCTTCTAAAGCCTTATCTCCTTAACAATGGCTTGTTTCCATACAGGGAACTTCATAGCTTGTTGATATGTATGAGGTTCATATGTTTTGGTGATTTGGCAAATGAAGTTCATGTAAGAAGGTGGTAGTTTATTGTAGAATAGTTGTTTTTCTAAAATGTATAACGCAATGTTAATGATTGGTTGTTATCATTGATAATCGTGTAAGTAAGTTAAAGGTTTAGTAATTCTTTTTATCTTCTAGGTGGTTAAGTTATATTTATAATTTGTATTTGGTCATGGAATGGTATAAGGGATAGGCTAATTATAAATGGGTTGAAGGATGACCAAATCAGTAAAAGAATCATAGTTATTTATTGAAGGATTATTCTTATAAGGGAATATGCTTGGAAGATAACATCTCTTAAAATTTAAATTTGATTTGAGATGAGATTAAGAACCTTGTATCTTTTTTACCATTTGGATATCCAAGGAATATGAAAGGATGACTTATAGGGGAGAACTTGTTTCGTTTGGACAAGAGAGTGGAAATGTAGCATAAGCAGCCAAAAGAATGCATATTTGTATAATCTGATTCTTTGTTGTATAACAATTAACATGGAGAAGTTTTTTTTATGTTTGGAGCTATTTAAAATGTATGTAGTTGTTTGGATACATTCACACAAGTACGAGAGATAGGAATGTTGGATTGGTAATATAGAACTCAGACAATATTTAAGACATGCTAGTGTTTTCTTTCCACCACTGCATTTTATTGAGTTTTTTCTACACATGAAAATTGATAAAGAGTTTCTTCTTGAGCAAGAAATTTTGTCAGGTGAAGTTCCTTATCATTATCACTTATGAGTTGTTTGATTTTCTTTCCATTTGATTTTGGATAAATCTGAAAAGTCGTTTTATTGTTGTTGGGGTATCTAATTTGTGTTGGAGAAGATGTATCCATGTCTATCTTGAGTGATTATCCACCAAGGTTAAAAAATACCTCATACCATCATAGGTGGGATGGCCATAAAAACCTCATATGTCACAAAGTAAGAGATAAAAAATTGGAATCAGAACAATTATTATGACAAGAAAATGACAACCTATTCAATTGAACAAAAGGACATATATTACAATCAGAAAAAATAAATAAGAACAACCAAATCCAATTTATTATTGAGGAGTCTTAAAATTTTGTCCGTCATATGCCATAATTTATTATGCCACAAAGTGATTTTATTGTAAACAGAAGCATTAATGATATTATTACACGTGTTATTGTAAACGATGTTGCATAATTTCTTATTGGCATGTTGATATGACATGTATAGCCCATAAAAGATGTTATCCTGATCAATCTTCTTGGAGTTAGTGACCTCCTGTACCACAAAGTGAGTAGCATACAAAGTTATATAGAACTTTTTGTCATGCAAAAAGAAACTAACATATAAAAGATTGAAGTTGAAGGTAGGAACATACAAAACATTCACTAGTGCAAAATGACCCTTCTATGTCACCTTATTCTCGTCGGATCCAAAAATATTCGACTTAAAAAAAATATGGTGGCAATTTTGCAAATGTGAGGCGGGACTTTTACGTCAGACCCAAAAGGGGGTGACGTAAAAGAGCTCTTTTACGTCACCCCCTTTTGGGTTCGACGTAAAAGGTGCATTTTATTCTATCCCAGCGCCACTCCCTTGTCTTGCGCAACAAGAGTTTTGTAGAACGACGATAACGACACTTTCCACACCATTTTTGACTATTTTGACTGTGAAAAACATCAACATTGTATCCCATTTTCCGAATTTGACATTTCTCCCTGATTGGATTCGAGTTTTAAATCGTTTTTGTGTATACTT